CATGTTAAAAACTGTGGGAGTCTCAGTCAAGAGTGAGTTTTTTCGTGTAGAAATGGCGCCACAGATCTCAGATAGAAAGTAGCTGTTATGCAATTGTAAGGTTTTGTATTTTCGAGAAGCCTCAGAACCCCGCCTTTTCAAGCCTTAGATGGTATCAAGGCTGATAGTTTTTAAAGAAACTGTTTGGGGCTGCGTCGGTGGGGATAACGAAATAATTTGAATATATCAACAAAGTTGAAAGGGTAAATTGGCCACCGTTACGACTACAAAAGCTGACGTTTCGAGCTTTAGCCCTTCGTCGGAGCGAATAGAGGAATTGTGGGTTGTGTGTGCTTTTAAAGGCAGGAAATGGAGCTACGTTATTGGTGGGAACATGGCAAGGAGAAGAACACGAATAAATTAGTGGAGTGAAAAGTGTTCGTTGATACCTGTGGGATTTAGACTGCCGGTTTGAAAGATGAGCTTTTGTTCAAGAGTTTTACGGCTTTTTGTGCTACCTAAGTGTAAGGAAAGACCGCAGATTGCCATATGTTGCTTAGAATGATTAGGTAAATCAAAATGTCTAGCGACTGATTTCGATGTGTCCGTGCCATTCCTCTCCACGTCGCAAAGGTGTTCTGGGAATCGGTCGCCTAGTCTTTTGCCTGTTTCGCTGATGTAAATCTTTTTGCAATAAGTGCAAGTTATGCAATAGATTACATTGGCGGAGGTGCAAGTGACGTGATCGGTGATCTTAATGGATCGTTTGGGTCTCGATATTTTCTTAGTGTTGTGAATGAAAGGACACGTCTGGCATCGTGCACGAGCGCATTTAAAAGTGCCTGGTTGGTCATTAGTCTGAAAAGAGCTTCTGACCAAAAAATTGCCTCTGTTTTTGTCGCGTTTGAATGAAATGAGCGGAGGCTGCGAAAAGATTGTGCTTGTCTCTGGATCGTTATCAAGTAATTTAAAGTTTTTAAGAATGATGGATTTAACTGAGTGGTTGTGAGGGTGAAACGTGAGTGAATGGAATGCGGTCGGAATCTTCCTTTTGTGACGTTTGTAGTGCTGAACTGTAGTGCTGAGGCTGGGGGGATACAAATACTCAAACCACCAATTTATGGTTCCAACCTTGTACGAATGCTAGGTATCAAGAATCGACAACTCACGAGAGTAACAGGTCAAAATGCGTAATTCTTTGGAGATATGGTTTCCCACTAAGGGAAACCCCTATTTCCACATTTTTATTTTTGCGTAATTAAGACACAGTATCTCTAAAAGCGGTCCAGTACATTTTGGTTCGATTTCTTTCAAACTTTGGCCCATTAATCTATATTTCTTTAAAAGTAATCGTATACACCACTTTGTTTTTCCTTTTTTCTGTACGAAAATTGCTTCAGCGCGTTAAGCGCTTAAAGGTTTATTTTTAGCAGCGCCAATCATTACAAATGGCACAAATTGCCGTGCTAGTCTTT